ATGCCCATGACCTCCCCACTAGACGGAGGAATGCGGCCGTCTATGGCAGGACAGCTGCCAGCCTGGCCACCAAAGGCCACATGTGAACCCAGGAGCGGGTTTGCATGAAAATCAAGTTGGTCCGGCGAGACCCCCAATCCTGAGCCCTGAGCTTCCCCTCCCCCTCCCCCTTCTTCCCCTTGCCCAAGAAACCCCTGCCCAAGGCCAAGGGAAGGTATCGGCCTATCCTAGACCTCAGGGAGCTCAATGCAGAGGCAGCCGGGCTCTGTACAGAGGGTCTCTTTGTCCTGTATCAAGGAGTGTTATGGGCTGGCCCAGGTGCCAGCCCTTCCCCTCACGGCCCACTCCACTAGGACCCAGGCCTCCTCTACAGCATTTGTGGCCCAGGTCCCGATCCTGGACATCTGCAGGTCTGCCATGTGGTCTTCAGTCCACACTTTTGCCAATCATTATGTGCTGGACCATCATGCAAGGGAGGATGCAGCCCTGGGGAGGTCTGTCCTCCAATCAGTTGAAGGTTAGAAATCTGACTCTGCCTCCTTGGGTTTCCACTTTGGGAGTCACCTACATGGAATGGACATGAGCAAGCACTCGAAGAAGAAAGAAGAGTTACTTACCTCCCATAACAGTTGTTCTTTGAGATGTGTTGCTCATGTCCATTACAAATCCCACCCATCTCCCCTTCTTTGGCGTGGTCCGATAAGAAGGAACCGAGGGCGGGGAGGGCCGGCAGGGGTATATATGCGCCGATAACGCCACTCCCAGGGGGCTCCCCTACTGGCCCAATGGGTACTGCTAAGGGAAAAACTTCCAATGACGCGTGCACGCAGTGCGCACATCCCTACATGGAATGGACATGAGCAACACATCTCGCGTAACCATTGTTGTTTGAGATAAGTAACCGTTTTTTCTTAGCACATGTACTTCATATTGGCTCAGTCCTGCAACCTCTGCTTCCTGTGGCTCCCCTTGGCTGCAAATGACAAACCAGAAGCAATGGGAGCTATGTGGCTGCGGAGCCAGTAAATAAACTGGAGCGGCCAGTTAGCAGGTTTCTCAGAGTGGATCCGTGGACCACTTTGAGAAACACTGTGCTAAACCAATTTACACTGTGGCAAAGATTCTTGGATTAAATAAGTTTCAGAATTGAGACTGTGATGCTCAGTGAGTCTGTAGGTATTAATTAAGGTTGTTGGTTTGGGTTGTAAGTGGTGTTTAAATCCTCTCATTTTGATCTGTTGACCAAATATGTTCTTATGCTCGTGTTAGCTGTATGAGCTTTATCGGCTCAGCAATGCTGTGAGAGGGTGGGGTCGATGCTGTTCTGCATGTCACTGTAGAATCTCTATCTGCACAGATCTGAAAGGCAAGCAAGAATCATGTAAGTTTTCTGATCTTGGGGAGAGTTTGCGACACCAGCCACTTTTGTATCACACTGAATAATTCTGGACTTGTACACTCAGCCAGTTTGCTCTGGAAGTAAAGTATAACTGTGTGTACAAGATTTTAGAATATGGGTTTCATGTGCTTATGTGATAGAACATTTCTGTTTCAGAGAGGTGGGTGGGCCAGTGATCTCCCAACATGATTTACGTAGGTCTTTATATGATTGATGGCAATGGCAGTGTCAGAGCCATGATGGCATATAAAGGACACAGCACTCACCCTGACCCAATAGACTGTAACCCACGTCACAGTTGGAATGTGGCCCAGAAACAAGGCATTTGTTACATAATTTTTTTTTTGTGGTTATCTTGTTTGGAGTCCAGATTTCAATAGCTCCCTAATTAGTGTTCACTACAGCCAGGGAACAGTACACATCTTAAAATCCTGTTTTGTATTGCCACTCACTCAGCCCTCAAGGGAGTTAAGCTACTAGAACACACGTGCTACAAGAGCCGATTTTTACTGGCACATGGGGCAGGAGCTCAGCCCTCCCCTTCCCCGGCGCAGCCAGAAGCCATGCAGCTCCTGGCTGGATCACCAGCTCCGGCTTCCTGCTGGGTTGGGGGGAGAGGCACACATGCATCCCTGGGGCTGCCTCCTGCTTCGGGAGGGGCTGGGCCTGGGCCTGCTCCACAGATCTGGGGCTGTGCAGCTGGCACATGTGGCACAGCCATGCAGCTCCTGGCTGGATCACCAGCTCCGGCTTCCTGCTGGGTTGGGGGGAGAGGCACACATGCATCCCTGGGGCTGCCTCCTGCTTCGGGAGGGGCTGGGCCTGGGCCTGCTCCACAGATCTGGGGCTGTGCAGCTGGCACATGTGGCACACCAGAGCCTGGGCAGGAACATGGACATATATGGCTGGATGGCCGAGGCCCTGGCCACGAGGGGCCACCACCCCAGGAGCCTCGAGCAGGTCAGGAGCAAGGTCAAAGAGCTCCAGCAGGGCTGCACCAGGGCCAGGGAGCACAGCTGTCTCTCTGGGCCAGAACACCACTCCTGCCCCTACTTCAATGAGCTGCATCGCATCCTGGGGGCTGGGGCAGCCCCTTCCCCACCCCTGGTCATGGACTCAGGGCTGGAGACGCCTGTCATCACCCGCCCGGAGGTCCCAGACAAAAAGGAGGAGGAGGACATTGAACTGGAGGAGGATAAAGAGACAGCCAGCACTGTCACCCTCAGCCTCAAGCTGGTATCCCAGGGCCTCTGAGGCCAGGGAGGGATCATCAGGTAAGTGCTCAGTTTTTCACACACACAGGGAGGGGATGGCAGGCGCAGAGGGGCTGTGGTGCAATTGTCGCTCAGCCTTCTCAGCCTGGCCATCGGGCTGCAGTCCCTGCATGTGCAGCACCAGTCTGCGCCATGCAGCCCCAGAGCACAGGCTCTGGGAAGGCCACACACGTCTGACCCCCGGGAGGGATGCCCTCCCACCACCAGCCACCACTGGCAGGAGGCTGGGGACAAGGGGAAACGCACGCCTGCACACAGACTGAGGAG